CTGAGATGACTGTAGTCCGGGCTGAGTAGCAAAATTATGAGGAAAAAACGCTGAGACTATGACTGAATGGCTGAAATTCGATCAGGGCTAGTGCGACGAGGGCTGTCGGTGACAGAGCTGGCACTGTGACTAAAATACTGACGGGTTAAGTGAGCAAGACCAAGGACCAGGTGGCTGAGAGTACAGCTAAGACTGCGGGAGGTTAAAGGATAAAAGGGCTTTAAATTTTACCAGAGCTGATAGAACTAATGCAAATCGTGAAGAGGGAAGGAGGTCTGAGTGCAGAAACTCAAAATGCCAAGTTCAGCTGTTGAGAATTAGACCTAAAATGCTAAATAAATTGAATCCAAGCTGTGACAAGCAGCTGGAGTATGGTGGACGATTTCTGGGCTCAGGTACACCTTAAACCACTTTTGCATGACATTTTCCTGCCTCTCCTGTCACTCTCCTTCACTTACTGTCTAACCAGGCATCGACACTTAAATCACATCTCTGAAAAATAAATGAAAAGACATGAAACAATACAGGTGCTAAGAAAGACCAGAGTTCCAGAGTTATTACTGAACTTGAAGAGTTGAGTGCAAGAACATGGTACTGAAAGCTTTAAAGAAAGTAAAGAGGCTGAAGTAATGAAGACCTAAATGACTGATGAAAAGTCCGGGATCACACAGATATGTGGTCTCACAACTTCACAGCTCAATTCCATTACAGGACAAGTTAAAAGCCTGCCTCAGTCATCTCTGTACCGTCTCTGTCATCTCTGCATAAATATTTGAGAGGCTGAATCATTGAAGTAAATGTTTTTAAATGCGACTCCAGCACTCAGTTGATGATCTGGGTCATTGTGCCCACTCAGCCACACCATCCTGGGGTTCCTGAAGCAAAACGCTAGAACTCAGAGCTGGATAACGGCTGTGACTCGACAAAATATGGGACAACATTAGGTGTGGGGGTGTTACTGCCGATACAGGCGAGAAAAAGAAACTGGGTCAGGAAAGTTATACTCTGCTACTATATACATCTCCCCCTTTAATCTCGCCGAGCCGTGAATTTGTGGCCTCTCAGCAGGGGACCCACGCTGTTGTGGCTGTGCTCAGTAGCCAAGCCAACAAGGGCCAACACATCCTCCCTCAAACCAAAGCCATGTCTGAACTGATTGGATCAGGTTTGTCTGTGCTGGCAGCTGTAAAGAAAGTGCCGTTTTATAAAAATGTCTTCAGTTATTGATATTTTGTAGGTTGTAACTGGCTTTGGCTGGATGTCAAGTTACACAGTTTCGGTGGACAATCCTTCTTTTTCTGTCCTCTATTTTGGAAAACCCCATATTTCCAAAACAGCAGTCTCAATGAAATGAAGAGGAGGTTGTGTTTTTCATGCAGCACTAATGACAGTCTGACCATGGCTTTACACACAGTCATCTAAACATACACATGCATGTTTAACCTTGTCATAGAACAGAAGGTCTCCATTCATCCTTCACATGTGACATAGACAGCTAAAAATGATATGTTCTCTATCAGAACTGAAACTGTCAAGGTGCTCTCATGAAGCATTAACTTCTTCTCGATAAATAACTTAATAAACATTGAAAAGCATGTGTGTGTGTGTCTGTGTGTGTGTGTTCTGGCACAGTACCCCCTATTGATTAATGTCTCATATCAGTGAGGTGAGACCAACCCTAGATAGGTATGACATCTAATTTAGAGAAACATCAGCCCCACTTCTCTTCATTTATCTCTCTCTTCCATGTGATACGCATGTGTGTGTGTACATGTATGAATTCCCCACATGTGTTTCTGTCTGTATTGTGCCCCCCCGCCCCCATCTGTGTGTGTATGGCGGCATTTTGTCAAATCAAGAAAAAAGTGTCATCTTAAGGACAGTGTGCAGTCTGACCCATCCAAATAACAGATTATCGGGTACACACACATTCAAACCTAAAAGGTCAATCTGATCTCTTGGCGGCCAAGGCCCACAGCTTTTAGAACACCAGCCACGCCGGTGGTGACTGATGGACTTCAATTTTCTCTCCCCCTGTTCATTTCTCTGCCTCCCAGCAGGAGCCTGAATATTAGGCTTTGAGCAGCCGAGGGGGAAAGAGAGACGGCTGTGTTAGCTGAGGCGGAGCGAAAAAAGGCAGGAGAGGTGAAAGAGAAAGGACATATAAACTGTCAGAGGTATAGTTCAATTGTAGGGAGAGACAAATGAGAGGAGAGGGGGCCGGGAAGGATGAAAAGCAGGGAAGAAAGTGAGGTAATACATGAGTATCACATCCTTTTGAAATGGTTTAAGATGAAGAGCGAGCCTTTAGGGAGTCAGATATGTTTTTATTTTACTATAAAATGTGAGTTCTGGGGTTAAGGAACTATTAGACTGTAAAAATCTCCTTTTCCGCCCACGAAGATGCTGTCCAGGCTTTAATGTGGGTTTAGGGACGAAAATAAGATTCTGATCTCTTCTAGCGACTGACATTACAGTGTATGGAGGACAAACAGAGCGGTTTGATTGTTTGTGTGTAAACTTGTTTTTGTTTACAGATTGGAATGTTTTCTTCAGCGTCTCCAACCTGTAGTAGGTGAACTAGTACGGTCAGCAATTGCAGAAGGCTTGCAAACAGCCTTCTGTTTGAGTAATCAAACCTTTGGATGGACGATTTGTCCGGAAGAATGTGTTCATCTGAAGGAAGTGCAGGGGTCGGTTTCAGAAAGATATTTTAAGGCTGCTCTGTAGTGTTAAGGCCTGTCTTAATTTGATTAAACAGATGAATCTAATGCAGCCAGTTATACTTATTTTAGGTCTAAAAAAACAAAGAGCTAAGTTTCTATGGTAACAATCACTGACACCTATTGATCGGTGGCACCAAATGACAAAAAAAATGTAGTAAAATTTGCCTCAATTTTGTGGAGCTAGTAATGAGAAGGGAAAGAGAACCCTGTTGGAGATATACAGCAGTGAGAACATCATCAGTCATTTTCATTTGTCCAAAGAAACTAGAAACTATCCTCTGAGTGGTGAGTTAGTAGAAGTACTGCCAGTCCTGCCACATTAAGAAGATACAGTATCTGCGATCTGCTACAGGTCTGAACTGCACTCAGATTTTATATTACTGGTAAGTTTTTTATCAGTAAAATATCCTTGTAACTGTTGAATTCCTCCTAAAGGGAGACATTTTCTGCTGGAGTGAACGGAGCGGTTTGATGTAGTTACTCAGTCAGCCACGTTTTTCATTTTTTGAATAATGTCTTTGTTATCTATAATTCATTGCACATCAGTCCTACTTAAGATAGCCAATAAATAAACAGGTCTGTGCAACAGATGAATTACGATGTCTACATGAAGTCTGACTGTTTGAGTATGAGCTAAGCCGGTGCACTGTGGTGACAGGAACTGGCTAAAAGTCAGAGGAATGAAGGGGAAAAAAAGTTTTCAAACTAGATCATGGTTGGTTTGTGAACAAATGAGACATGTAATGATCCATTATTTACACAGACACAAAGCAGTTTTGAGTGAGAAGTGATTTGGAACATTGATTTGAATGAGGTGGAGGCTTTGATTATCATGCCAGAAATGGCTGTAATTAGCAAGTGAAAATAGGCCTGATCCTCTATCAATTTCCTACATCAAAATGGACTAATTTCCCCAATACTGAACTCATTTCCTCACTATTATAGATCATTTTTTCAGTGTCAAAAAACCTCACGCATTATTCTGCACAAGGCCTTTAATTCTTAAAACTGCAAACTAATCACACCAGGAAATGATTTAATTATATTTCCATAAAGACAGAGATGCTAATGGTAGAGTAATAAAAGTTTAAAAAAGAAGACACACAATGTTTTACGGAATACATCACACAGTTTGAAAGTACATTTTGTAGAATTAGATTTTTTTAGTTTGGTATTTTATGTTGAATCTAATGTAGAAATTCAGCAGTATGTCTTAAAGAAGGGTGTGTTCGTTCAATGCGCATCAAAATGATACACAAAATAAGCTACGTTTTTCTTTTTATTGTCCTGTTTACTAGAAAACCAATATTTTGTGTAGCAGAATAAAAGCAGAAACCGATTTTTAAATGGACAATGCAGCAAAAACTGAGTTTGTTATTCACAAAGGAAACATATAAGTTAGTCAGTTACTCAGGAAAAAGCCTTGTAGACGAGGGGAAAAAATAATTCTGTTGTAAAAGATGTTTTTTTTTTCTTTCTACTGCTATTTGGTGCACGGTTTATTAGATATTCTGTGCATAAACTTGTAAATGTCATGTTTAGCTGCCTAAGGAGATTATAATTGAATTTAAATTGAGGATGCATCATGCACAAGACTTCCCAAAAATAACTGACTAGATTACTTTTATTTCCTTTTGCCCACAGCAAGCCAGGATACGCTCCAGTCACTGTGACTCTCAATAAGCGGCTGTATATGTATTTATTTCTGCATTATTTCTATGAAAAGCCTGAATCACTAATTAAAGTATTAGAAGGTGTCCCAATATGTGTTTTTTAGTCTAGTATATCAAACAACAGCAAGATAAGCACTACTGGGTCTTTAGTAACCCCAGACCATATAACACACTGTCCATTTCCCTCATTTTAATTAGTTCGGCCTTAATTTCTTAAGCTATTTATTATATGTTAACATATGTTACCAGGATTTATGTAAGGCTATGAGTAAAAATGGACTGCATTTACAGTATATAAAGCTTGTATTTTTGCGAGACACTGAACTTGTCCAAAGACGTGAACAGGAGGAGCCGTAGATCGAACCGCCAACCCTGCTCTACCTGCAGCTGTCACCAGGAGACGTCTTGCTGTGACATGCAACTAACTAATCTAATTACTTTACATCATTTGCAATTTTCAGTTTGAGATAAGACACAGATTAGTTATTAGAGACACAGTTTCAGGGTGAAATGCCATCTGAGAGAGACAACTCATTGAACTCAAAAAAAAAAAAAAGGTGGAGAGAGACAAACACAGGTAGAGACAGTCGGACAATCTTACCTGATGCAGGGCGGTGAGACCGTCTTCATTGCAGAGGTCTGGACTCACATTGTTCTTCAGCAGGTAGCGTACTGGTAGAAAGAGAGATGGAGAAACACATAAGTGAAGGTGGAAGTCTAAAATAACTGAGAAACATTTCTCATTTCCCATTTTTTCTACATTCTTTTGCTTAAAATAGGTTGTGGTTATGTTTCCTCTAACACATTTAACCAGATTTAAAGACCTCACTTTACTGCATGCACTAATAAAATGCTATTTTGTGGCTGAGAATTGAAAGAATATTTGGTTTAATGTCACAAGTTGCGAATTCAGAGGAACAGATGTTACATGGAGATATGGCTTTCTAGTTATAATCAATATTTCAGAAAGAAGGCTGCTGCAAACAAACAATTGATGCAGGATAAAAGCGAGATTCCATACAACCCAATTCCTCCTGATTTCTCACACAGCCCGCAGGTGCACCTTAACTTAGCCTTTTGTTATCCAATGACATCACCAACCAATCCATCTACAATCCATTAATCTTACCGCATCATCGTGATGCATCCCTGCAGGAACTTCAATCTCTCAAATTATCAGCCTGCCAGGATGTTACCCAACTGACCTTGGAAATATGGATGGATGATGAGTGAGGGGGAGGGTTGGCGACAGAGGATGATGTAATGATGTTTGGGATTACAATGCCTCACAGTGCAAACAGATAAACCCTACCGTCCGGACCTTAATTGACAAAATATCAGCTATGACAGTGTGCACACTGGACAGCTGCCTGACTGCTAACGCTGCTAAACCTGCCGGCCTGAGCAGGAAGCGGCAGTGGCACAGAGGGCTACTCTCCACGTCATTATTATCCCCAGTTTTTGGCGGTGCTGCCAGCCGCCTTTATTTCACAGAGACAAAAAAAAAAAACCAGAGTGAGTGGATAAATCAGGTTATGACGCTGAATGCTGAAAGAGAGATGAGAGAGATTTGGAATGATAATGATCACATCTGTCCCTCAGTATCACAGAAAAATGGTCACAGAAACATGAACTACATACACCACATGTATGCGCACTAGAACACAAAGCCAGAGGGCTACACACAAAGACACCTGCAAATTCATGCAATAAAGCGCAGTACAGTACAGCTGCTGATGCATAACAACAACCAAGGATTGGTTGAAGTCAGAAGTAAAAAGTAAATGCTATACCCTGCATTTATATACAGTATGTTCATATATCAATCTATGACACTGCTCATTGTGCTATCATGAATAATAATAGTATGATTTTAAAAAGGTGCTAAGTCGATAGACAGAATATTTTTTATGATAATTGATTGATCATTATTTAAGTCATTTTTTCAACATTACTTTTTTTGGACTGTTGGCTGGACAAAACAAGACATTGGAAGATGTCAAATTGGGCTTCCAGAGTATTGTAATATTCCTCTTTCACTATTTTCTGATATTATATAGACCTAGCTCTTCACTGTGTACTGAAAGCAGCATGTGAGCAGCAGCAGCAGCTTCAATCCTGTGCCTGCTTTTACACAGGATGCATTAAAGCAAAAGTAGTAGAGTGCAAATCACTTGTAGTGTTTCAGCAGCGCTAGGAGCCTATCACATGTAATGCATAAGAAACCTGAGAACGCGAGCCACTAGGCAGCCTGTGTAGGGAACTAGCTTGATTAAAATAGACGCAATCTCGTCAAAATCAAACTGTAAAAGTGGGAAGATCTATATATCTATATAAAATATATAACTTCTCTACATGCAGCTTTGGCGTACCCGGCACACACACACACACACACACACACTAGCATGAGAAAGTCAAGTAACTTTGCCAGGAGTTGCACCATCTTTTGGCAGAAATCTTTCCAAAGTTAAGAACAGTTCGAGCTCTTAGAGGAGAGCACGTAATATGAACAGCATTTTTATGTGACAGCTAATAAAGACAAGGGAGGGAGGTTTGCTAGAGGGGCAGATCATGACAACGAGATGAATATGAATCAAAACTGAGCAGTAGAAAGGTTAGTATTTATGCACAGCGGCTGTGTTGTAGAGTTTCCTTTAAGTGAGATGGATTTTAGGACTGTTTGAGGATAATAGCTGCTGGTCATTATGGAAACACATGTGCAATCCACAAAACGCGGCTGTGGGAGTGCTTTTTCTACAATAAAAGTAGAATGATGGAAGCACAGCCATCAGCAGCCTAACTCTATTATCCCACTTCCTGAATCCTGCATCTATTAGACCTCTGTTAGGCTTCTGATAAGCATCACTGTCATCATCTAGCTTCGATATTTGACTTTGCCAGAACATTTTCAGTATTATCACCATGCCATCTACGCAGGAACTCAGTAGCAGTCACATGTCCAACATCAGCTGTTGTTGGAATCGAAGGCCACAAAATCAAACAAAATGATCTGCTGCAGAAACCAATGGTTCACTGTTTGTGTGCTCCTGTAAGAGCTAAGTGAGGAACAAAAAGTGAAATATTACAGCAAGTGCTGAGAGAATAGGACCCAAGGTTATAAAGTGTGAGCTCAGTCTGACTGCATCCAATAAATGTCACGCACCATTCTCTGCTTTCCACTGTGGATTTGAAGTGCAGTGTTGTACATGAACGGTGTACAACCTGGATTGTAAACAACACATCTCGGAGGAACTACAGTACTAACATAAGCTGCATCGTCTGTGCTTTTCTTGTAATTAGGTACAGAGGTGTTTTTCTGTCTTTCAGAGTCTTCAGGGGACCTTCTAAATGTCATGTTTAGCAGCCTAAGGAGATTATAATAGAATTTAAATTTGCTTGAAAACTGCATTGAAATGAAACGATTTAGGAGGATGCATCAAGCACAAGATATCCTGAAAATAGCTGATAGCATTACTTTAATATTCTTTTTGCTTTTTGCCAGAGGAGACCAGTGTATGCTGCAGACACTTGTGACTTTCAATAAGTGGCTGCGGTATATGAATGCATTTCTTTATTTTAAGTACGTAAGAAGCCTGAAGCAGAATACATAAGTTACTGCACTATGAGATTCTCTGAGATACGCTTAACTACAGGCAGCTTTTTAAAGAACATGTCTGAAAGCATAATCAAAGCAGAATTATTATTTCTTTTTAAATATCAAAACATTACACAGACCCCACCTAAACCTGCTAAAGAATAAAATTAAGCTAAGAAGCAAACATACAGTATTTGCCTGTCACTTGAGAAAGTCAATGCCACAACCTGATGTCGGTATAATAATTAAATTAGCATCAAATAGATTCAGGTGCTGATATTGGCTGCAGGGACAAAGCCAGGGCAGGCATCATCTAAGCTTTCTTTTTTCATTTGAGAGATTAATAAACCTGATAAATCCATATGTAATTGTAGCATTCAGGATACCATTAGACCTCTTCACTTCCTGTCAACAGCATTGAAAATGTAAATGCAATATGCCACTAATTCATACAACCCACTGTTGCACCTACAAAAACAGATTTAACCTCAATTATTTGCACTTTCCCTTTTCTTCCTGCTTCTTAATGTACTGTAGCAAATGAATTACTACTGCAATGAGTCACAGTCACAAGTTGATTTCAGGAGGTAATGAAAAGATTTCTTTTATCGATTTTTCAGAGTAGACGTTCACCTTTTTTGCCCCCATACGGAGAGATGTCAGCTACAGTTGGGAACACAGGAGCTGGTGGCAAATTAGGGTTTGTAAAAGAATGCTTCAATAATACAGATACCTGCGATAACCGGAGCTTGAACTAGTTAAACCTAGAACCTTTTATAACTAATGTTTTTAGTCTTTATTTACTGAATATTTGAAGCTTTCAATAGTTTTCTGTATTGTTGATAAAATCAATATGGCCACATGAAATGTTCAGTCGCCATCTACCTTATTTATTACTGCCATGTCATCAGCCTGTCAACCAGCACCACAGCTGCAGGAGCTTCAGCCTCAGACACAGGATCAAGGTCCTATATGCATATACATGCTAATGACATGTCTGAAATCAGACAACCACATACACGCACATTGTAAAATGTGAACACACTGCATGATGCTCCCACCCATTCCTGACAAAGAGTATTTTTTTTAGTAAGAAAAAGGTCATGCTCAAGGACGCTGATTATATATTATATACATCCAAAACATCAGCTTTGATTCAAAGCCTGTCTTGATACAAATTTTTAGGCACAGCAGGCCCGTCAAGCTTTGGGTTTTTTAATATGCCGTAACTGTGTTAATGGGGCTGTAGTAAGGGAGATACAAGGCACTGGGCTCTGACAATAAGGATTGCCTGATTGCCCCAGGGCAAGTAAAATGCCCAGTGAGCTAGCAAATCTAGCTACTCACTTGTTCAATCGGACTAGTATTAAAAAAAGAATTAAACACTTTTTTTTAGAGGAGCTGATGATGGAAGTGGCAGTACTGATTGGGCACTTGGCAACGGGTAGAGACAAAGTTTATGAGCTGAAACACAACCGAGCATTTCAGTTTCCTAGAACAGGAGTCTATTTGACGTTAGAGGATGTGGGTGAAACTCCATCTATGTATTGCTCATTTTGCCTGAAGTTTGAGAGCAAGGCAGATAATGTTTCATGTTTTTTAATTCATGGAGGAGCTCCTCCTGTGTTTGTATTTGTGTATTTGTGTATTTGTGTGTAGATTTTCCTCTGCTGCATGTTGACCACGCACACAGCGACGTATAAACACATTTGTTTTCACACCGTTTGCGTCAGAAAAGTAATCAGAAGGTGACAGTTGTCTCACGGTGTCTGAAGTCAGATAGCTTTGCATGCTCTTCAGGCTACAATTTAAAATATGGATACCGGGGTGAGATTAACAAATACACATGCAGGCAGCACAGACACACTCACAACCACCTAACAGCTCGATATTTGATTGGTTTTTAGGCCATCATGCGCCAAAATATATGCATTGGTGGTGAATTGCTTTGAGTGAGGGTGTGCGCTGCTGCATAAGTTACGATGAAATAGATTTGAGTTATGATGTGTGATGAATCTGACGATGAGAGTGATGTGATGGCAAGCAAGACATAGAGAAGTGTAAACAGCTAGAGGAG